GCTGTAGAGGGAAGGATATGGGACTGGGAAGGGGTGGGTGGGAGAGGTAGGCTGGCCTCCAGGGTTGGTCTTGGGTGACTCCTTTCCTCCCTGGAGGGCTCTGTCCTTTCCCTGTGCCCCTAGCCGAGGACGCAGTGTGAGGCTGGGGATGGGACATCATGCAGCCAGTGTCTGCAGTCCTGGCCAGCCCACTGAAACCCTTTCCAGTGTGACACTAGGTTGAAGAGTCCCTTAGAAATCTCACAACACAACCACGTGGGGCTTTTTGGTGTTGTTTTGGGCTCCATAACTGTATGTAGAGGGGCAAACCAACTCCCAGTCTTAAGAAGCAGAAAGAGTGACCTTCACTTATTTTGGGACAGCCTTGGTGCATATGGGACCTAGCCTGCCATACACTTCAGTACGTACATACATCATTAACGGCATGTCCAGGACTGCCGGGCACCCCAGACCAGCTCCTTTCCTCGTTTGCAATGCTATCACTACGCAGCACCCTGGGCATCCAGCCCCTCTCTCCTTGGGGCTGCAGGGGGTGCCTAGGGGCACTGGGAGCCTGGCGGCAAGCACAGATGTCTGTGCTCACTTTGCACTCTCCTTCCTCACGGCACGTGTGCCTTCATGGAGCTGAGGCTATTCAAGGATGCCCGGGCAGATCCTCAGACATGCTGCCTGGGCTGAGCTCCCAAATGCCCTGAGGGGCACCTGGTGGGGCTGGTGCCTGCAGGGGCCTTGGGCTGGCAGGGAGCTCTGCGTAGTGCAGGACACTTCCTGCCCTCTGAGCCCCCCACACCGCTCTGCTCTCCTTGCAGCTCCCCGGACACACTACCTGGCTGACAGTGGTAAGTCTGTGGTCCCTCATGGCTCTTCTGTGTCTGTCCCATGTGGCAGCAGGGACCAGAGTTTGACATCGCAGATGTTCAAAGAGACTCTGGGACCAGCAGGGAAGAAGTGGAGGGAGGAAGGACTTCTTGAAAGGGTGGGCTAAGGAACCAGTATAGCCCTGGAAGCAAAGCCAGGAGAGGACAGGGTGTGAGCAACCGAGAGGAGGAGATTGAGAAGGGCCTGGCTGCCTATCGGGGTGAAGGGTGAAGAGGGAGGGTTGCTGTGGAAGAGGGATTTTGGAGAGAGAAATTTCAGCATGGGGTGGGGGAAATTCAGCCTGGAAATGAGATAGAGCTGGAGAGGAGACAGAGCCAGATAAGCTCGGAAATGGACAGGGATGGGGCAGTAGCTGAAAAAGCAGACTATGAGCAGGTCATCTGGGGACAAAAGAGCATATGTTTGCTGTGTGGGGGGAAGGACCAGAGCAAGGGGCTGAGGAGAGCTGTTAGGAAAGGCGATGTGTGAGCACAGGAGTAGTGTCGGCCGGGTAGGTGTGGGGCCAGCCCTTGCATTTTCATTTATGCACCTTGATGTTTTCTTTTCAGATCCCCTCATTTCTAAGTCGGCCTCCCTCCCTGCCTACAGGAGGAACGGGCTGCACAGGGTAAGTGCCTCCCGCCTGTGCCCCGCTGCTGCCAAGCAGCAGTGCTTTGGTCTGCTCCTGCCAGACATTTCTGCACCCTTCATCCCTCCCTTTATCCTTCTCCTTAGAGCTCCTCAAAGCCCCCTGTGTTACCCCAGCCCCTTTCAGGATTAGTGTCCTGCTCCCCACCTTCTCTGCATCCCAGCTTCCACTCCTGTTTTGTGCCAACCCCAAATAGTCCCTACTGGGGACTAAAGTGCCCCATCTAGACCATACAGAAGAGACAGGTGCCTGCCCTAAATGGCAGATCTCTTCCCCTGTTCTGCAGGTCATGTTTCAGAGGGACACTGATGTTGCTTTCCAACAGGAAGGCTTTGCTTTATACCCTGGGCATCAGGAGACCCCGTCCTGCCTCTGTGTGACCTGGGCTCATCACTTTGCCTCCTCATGCCTGTTTTCCATTGCAAAGTTTGGGGAACCGGTCCTGCTTTGGGGTGGTGGATGCCTTCCCCCTTCAGGGGTATTGGGACGTGCCCAGGCACAGGCACTGTGGATGTGCTGAGCATCTGGAGCAGACCCCCTCTCGCTCACTCCCTCCTTCCATGTATCTCCCTTGCAGCCTCCCAGTGCTGAGCTTTTCCACTACGACAGCACGAATGCCGTCAACTGGGGGATGCGAGGTAAGCTGGCAGAGGGCTGGGGAGGTGCCAGGGCAAGGCAGGCTCTGTAGAGAGGCACAGCCCTCCTGGCCAAGACTCAGGAGAACAGGCTTTGCGGGTGATCTCCTGCAGCAGGGATGTCACTGCCAGCCTCCTCGAAAGGCATATGGGAGCTGGCCTTGCTGCCTTGTAGCAGTGTAGTTTCCTTAGGAGCAGAGTTTAAACCATTTCTGAGGTCTGACCCATTTCTACAGAAGTGGGGGTGGGTCCTCCCCAAGCCTCACCACGGCAGAGCTCCAGCCACCCCGACTGAGTCCTTCAGCGTCTCTGGGGGCTTCATTTCCCCCTTCTTCTCCACCTGTCTGCCCGGCCACTGCCAGCGGAGCCAGGCACAAGCCCTGGGTGCGAGTGAGTTGTGTGAAGTCCTCTGCTCAGGCTCTGCTCTGGTGCCAGGCTAAGCTAGGCCCATTTTGGTGCCAAGCCCTCCCGAGGGTCTGCGCTGCACAAGGTCGAGCATGGGGCTCCCTCAAAGGCAGTGCCAAAGCAGGGTGCCAGGCTCCACCAGCCCGCTGCTCTCTCAGGCCCTTCTGTCCCACCATCAGGGTGGCTGGCACCTCAGTGGGGCATGAAGCTGGATACCATGAGGTCCCCTACCCTTCAGCAGGCAGCTCCAGAAAATGGGGTCAGGCTAGAGGGACAGGCTCTGCAGCTCTGGGGAAGGGATCCTGGCAAAGGGGGCGTCAGAGTGGTTCATGTCTCTCTTTCTTGTCTTTTCTCTCTCCTTGCAGAGTACAAGGTAAGATGTCTCTGCTGGCAGGGTCCCTGCTCCAAGGAGCAGTTGCCACCTGGAGATGCCCAAGTACCACCCAGCGGATGTCCCAGAGAAGTTCCCTTGTCCCTCCAGACCCTGTTGTGATGGACACTTCTTTCTCCTCCATCCTCCCAACTCCCCCACCAGATAGCCCCATCCCAAGACCGTGGGACTCACATCAGAGACCTTCCCTTCCTGCCAGGGACCCAAACTCTTTGCAGAGCAGAATTGTCACCGTGGGAAAGAAGCTGAGACAAGTGGTCAAGTTGGTTGTTCCCTGCTCAGCTCTAACTCACATGTGTCTCTGGATCATTCCTGGCTTTACAGAGTGAGCACAGGACCCTTGGGTTGCCGTTCAAGACCTACCGAGGTGGTTCAGAAGAGGCTCTGGTTAGAGTCACCCTGAAAGCCAGTCCCCATCTCAGCCTTGACCTGTCCAAGCCCTGGGGGGCGGCTGTGCCAGCCAAGCCCTGCTAAATGCCCTGGCGATAGCCTTTTCCCCAGGTGGTCCCACCACCCCAGAGCTTCCCTGGAGCACCTTGCTGGTGTACTCTTCTGGCTCCAAAGCTAGTCCGTGGTCTTCATTTCTCCATGTAGATATACCCCTATGAGCTGCTCCTGGTAAAGACAAGAGGAAGGAACCAGCTACCCAAAGATGTGGACAGGACTCGGTTAGAGGTGAGAGGAGCCTTTTCCACTGGGGAGAATATCCTTAGGGTTCAAAGGCACTGCGGGCTGTCCCCACGCCTACCCACCTGCAGCTCACTGGCAGGCTGTGTGGGGCTGCGAGGCGCTGAGGCACGCTGCTTGTCCTCCACGGGAGGAGCATCCCCACCAGCTCCCTAGGAGCTCACCCGGGCCAGCATGTTGTCGCTGCGGCCCCGCTGCTCCATGCACAGGGCAGAGCCACTGCTCCTTGTGACTGTGGCACGAGTGCATTCGGCTGGAGCAGGAGAGAGCCAGGCAGCTCCCCTTCTCCATAGTTAGCACTGCTTGGGGCTGCAGCACCCCTGTGCAGCCCTTCCAGCACCCAGTCGGGGGTGGTACGCCACCAGCCCCCTCACATGCCTTCCCACCTCACCTTAGCTGTGTGGCCCGGTGCCTGGCTGCAGCCCCCTAAGCGTCTGGCACCTGGCCCTGGCCCCCCAAGCCCCCAGCACCTCGCCCCAGCCTCCCAAGCATCCAGCCCCAGCCCAGCAGCTCATCTCTCCCCAGCGCCACCTCTCCCAGGAGGAGTTCTACCAGATCTTCGGCATGACCATCGCTGAATTTGACCGCCTGGCCCTGTGGAAGAGGAACGAGCTGAAGAAGCAGGCCCGGCTGTTTTAAATGCAGTGCACTATAAATATATACATACCTATAAATATATACATAGAAAGATCTCTATATTGCAGCTCTGTATGATTCTCAATGCTGGATGTGACAGGGGCGCCCTCTGTACCCCTGAGAGTGAATTGGAGTGTCACAGATAATTTTATGCTCTTTGAATCTTTTTCTTTCTCACCCCAAAACACCCTTTGGGAGCCTGGGGCCGGGGGGAGGGGGCACTTTCTTCTTGTACTCTTTGGCAGGGGGGCATCTGAATCGACCCTTGGCGTTTTCCAGGAGCTAAAGCCGTGTGAGCCCTAAGCACTTGGTGTCTCACTGCCAACCCACCATGGCGAGGGGAGAAAACGAGGACAAAATGTTGTCCCGAGCAGCCTGCTCCAGCTGCAGGAGGGTTAGGATTCACAGGCAGCTGCTGGCTGGGACACGGCGGAGCCATGTCCCCAGAGATGGGTGACTGCAGGGCCACGGCAGCCCCGTGCCAGGAGGCTGCTCCTTCCATCCCTGCTCGGGTGGGTGAGGGCCCACTTCTGGTCTCTCCAAAACCCCTGCCAGGGCAGCACCTGGCCAAGGAGGACCTCGAAGACAACAAAGCCCAGTGCCTTGGTTGTGGGGCGAAGGGATGTGGGTGGGGGGGGGGGTCCTGTCCTCCCTCACCCTTCACCCAGCGGGACAAGGCAGGGCGGCGGAGGGACACCAGTCACACTGCTGCACACTAACTGCTGCATCTCCTGCTGGGCCTTTCCTGGGCGTCTCCTGATTTACTTTATCACTAGTATCTCTGTCCTAGATCAAATCTCTCTGGCAGCCTTCAGGAATGAAGGCATTTACCAGGGACATTTTGCATTTATTCCAGTGCAAACTGTTGGGGTTTTCTTGGTTCTGTGCTCTGTTTCTTTTTTTTTTTCTATTATTTTTTCTCATTACTAACGTTATTTCAACACAAACGTCTTTCCTGGTGTTATCTGTGGTGTTCTCATTTTCTACTTGCTTGTTAGGTACAAATTTCCAGAATATTGCAGGTCTAAGCTGTCCCAAACAGGCCAGCAAACCACAAGGCACCTCCACAACAGCTGAGTAGGCAGGTTTCCTTCTAGGGGACAGTGAGGATCTCATTTGCCTTCACCATGCAATGGGCCAGCTCTGCTTCTGTCCGTTCTGGTCCTCCGTGAAGCCCTCTTTGGGAACGTCCTGTCCTCATATCTCACATCGGGTAGTTCAAATCCCCTCCCTGCCATTAGCGCCACCACCCTTCAGTGCTGAGGCTGCCCAGCTTGTTGCACAGAGCGCAGGAGTGGAGTTCCTGTGCAAGACAGGGGAGGTACCTGCGTGGCGCCTTGCACAGGGCCCAGTTTTGTTAGCCTGTAGGGTGCTCGGGGCAGGAGCCGGCAGCAGCATGGAGGAGCTCTCTCTTCAGCAGCAGCCGCAGGTCTACGAGCTTTTCTCTTGGCCTGGAATGGGCTGGGGAATGAAGTGGGGATGGTAATATTGCTCCAGTAATTGCTTCTGTCTACTTTAGTGCAGCAGTAAATGAAGCAATTGTATTTATAATGATTTCAGCCATATAAACTACAGCTCCTTAAATCAAGCTCAGCTATTTGGGGCTATAAGAAACTTCCATCTCCAGCAGCAGTTTCCGTGATAAAGCCTAGAGGATCCAGTGCTTCCAAAGTATTAATAATGATAATAATAATAATAATAATTACAATAACAACAATGCGGAGCACTTAGAGAGGCTTTTCATTTTCAAAGCATTTTATGGACATCATTAACTAACTGTTCCTCACAACCCCTTGCATGGCAAAGATGGGGAAACTGAGGCAGGGGGCTGTAGTGCCTCTCCTCTGAGTGCACATGATGAGAAGAGCAGTGTTTCAAAACCCGCAGCTCCTGGCCCTGGGATCAGTCCCGCAGTTTGGCTGAGAGTGAATAGCTGGTTGCTGCCCCTCTGGCTGTGTATTTCCCCTCCACCTGGGGGTTACCTCTCACCCCATTTGACAGGGTGAGATAGACACAGCTGTCATCTCCTAGCCCCTTCTCCCAGTTTTTTGAACTTCCAAGAGGCTCACAGCAGCTGTAGGCTCAACACAAGAGCACAAGGCTTCAGCCTGCTGCCCCTGTACGGTAGGAGCCCTCTCACTTTGGAGAGCCCAGAGGCAAAGCGGGGAGAGGAAACCTTGGGAATGAGCTGGGTATGGAGGCCATGCCCTGGGGGCACACAGCCAAGGGGCTGAAGACAGTACCCTTGTGCTGAACCCACCGCAGGACAGCGTTGGCTCAGGCTGGAGGCCGGGGCAGAGCGTGGAGCGAGCACCCAGCACTGGACCGCCTGCCCGCGACAGGAGAGGCAAGGAAGCCTCTCCTGGCCTGAGCCGTTCGGGGGCAGCAGACATCCAGCGGGACCGTCGCAGTCATGTCCGGCCTGAACTCTGCTCACCACAGAGCAAATGTGCAGAGAGCACCCCGGAGAGCAGGGACAGGGTCATTAAAGCCTTTCCTGAAAGCTGTTATTCTGGCTGAGCCCACACTGCTAATTTGACTGCTTTGCAAGTCCCAACCACAAACCAGCCGGAGCCTGGCAGGCTGCGTCTGGCCCGCCTGTGCCCTGTGCCCCGACCACAGCCTGGGAGATGACCCTGGCACTGCATGTTACAAGAGAAAAAAGAGGAAAACAGGGCTTGTTCCAGATGGGAGGCATCAGCTGCAGTGAACGCCAACGCCAGGGAGGCACCAGGCTGGTTTGTGTCGCAGCGTGACTGGGCAGAGGGGGGAAGGCTGGTTCGGGGCTGGGGACAGGGGGGATGCAAGAGGGTACCGAGCTTGGCTCCCTGCACCCAGCCTCCATTCCGCCCTGCGCTGAGTGCCATAAAACAGGGAGGCTCTGAAGGTGAATTGCTAACACATGCCTGATATTTCAATTATTGCTTTCACAAGTAATGATCAGTTGAGTGTGAAACCTAATCAAATTTCTCTCACAGTGGCAGGCAGCCTGTGGCTCCCTGAGGCTGTGAGAAATTGTCCTTGGGGTACCAGGAGCATGTTGTAACAGGAGTCATTACCCATGCTGCAACGTGGACACTCCTTTGCGCACCCCAGATCTCCCAGGCTCTGGTCTCCTCTGAGGTGCTCATAGCAGGAGCAGAGACGGTGGCATGAGCACCATGGCCAGGCAGAGCCAGGGTACATGAGGGACGCCAGGATGGAGCAGATATGGAAGAGTTTAGGTGTAGATTGGCTGGAGCAAGGTCAAGGTCAGAGGCTGCTCAGGGGCAGGTCAGCAGCACTGGTGAAGTAAGGAGCAGGAGCAAGGGGGTGCGGGGGAACGGTACTTGCTAATGGTGTGCATTTGGGTGGGAGAATCGGTTCTGGATCTTTGTCCCAGCTGGTCCTTCCCAAACTAACAACCCCCATGCGGAATGTGCTTGGGGTTTGTGCATGAAGCGCTGTGGGAAGTCTCCCTTGCAGGTTCCCAGCAGGCAAAAGATCTCACCTCATACAAAGCTCTGCAAATACCACCAGCTGTCCTTCGCTGCACCCAGCACAGCCCCAGGTTCCTGCCAGCTCTGGTGGCTGAGCTCCCATGCAGCCACCCTTGCCAGGAGGTGGTGTCCTCTGGGGTGACCAAATTGAATCCATTTTCAAGGGCATAGATCATGAGGTGCACAAAGAGCTGTCATGTTTGCAAGCTTCCATGTTACCAGCTGAGGGGTGAACACCTCATACTGTGCTGAACTTCAGAGCGCAGCCAGGGAACGTTGCCAGGTGTGTCTCCACAGGTAATCTATGCGGCTAGTGGGGGATCCTGAATATCCCCTACCATCTGCCAGCCCTGTGGACAGAAGAAGGCGGGTGGAAGTGTCCTGCTCTAGATCAGAGGGAGGCCTGCGGCTGTGCCCCCACCCACACAGAGGGGTGCTCCTGGTGCCCTTGGCAGTGCAGCTGGTGGACATGCTCTGTGTGAGGTATCACCTGGGAAACTTGTGGTGGGGCACCAAGGGAAAACACATAGAGAACAGCCTCCAGGCCCTGTGAGGAAACCTGCTCCAGAGTCATGGGGCTGCGCATCCCTCTTATCCGGGCCAGGGACCCCCAGCTGCCAGCTGAGCTTTCCAGTGGGGTAGGCTCACCTGGCAGTGGGGGTCCC